TAGACATTTGAGTGTTACTCAAATTCATTAATATGCCACACTCGTATGAATTCTTCTACTATTTTGTTTTAGAAAACCTTTTTTATCTTGTGGTTTCTGATTTGTGATTTTCTGATCCCTTTTCCCAGCTACTTAAAAAAATCAAAAATATTTAACAAAAATTGCATACTACATTCACGCACATGTAGTAGTTGACATGAAGAGGTTTCTTAAACACCATCATGTCATATTTAGTAGTATTTAATACTTTGCTTACACATTTGATGTAGTATAAAAACTAAGACACACTTCAAGATAATTGAGATAAAAATTTGACAAAGTCATTTTCACTCAACTTTCGCGAGTTGGTTGTTCATTCTTTGGTCAAATATTAATCTACCACTGTCTTAATTTTCCTCTTACCTCTACGCCACTTTTTATGTTGCTTTTATAAAAGCAGATACATTTGTATCAGTAAATAAAGTAAATTCTAATATATCTACTGCTTTTATGTAGCAAACTGATTTGTTTCAGAAAACAATCTCCACTATTAAGCTGCAACTCTCAACACTATAGAGACTCAAGGTTTTATCCTGCAGGAAAACTACCTTTTACTCTCTTTTCAAATATTATAAGCACCTAACATGGTTGGATACATTTTCAAATTAGAAAAATATTCATACTGATCACACGAAAGGTAGTAAATCCAAGTAAAGTTAGTGAAGCCAATTTATGAGTAAAATTTTACTTTCAAATAGAAAGGAATAAGCAACATTGAACCCTAAAAGGCTCTAAATGAGATTATGTTAGTGAAGGTGAAACCATTTTCAGCAGTGGATGCTTGGTTGCCCCTACACACAGGGAGCACTGACTAAGCTACATCCAGAAGCTTCTAATTCTTTAGAAGCTTTAATTCTTTACACCTCAGTTAACTGCAGAGGACAAGTCTCAGCCTCAAGATGTCCACTGATTCTTCTCCCCCTCTATGAATTGGCTTCATTACTCTCTGCTCTCCTCCCCACTAATAGCTGATGTGTGGTGAGCGTTCTGGCGCACTATGGCTGCTGTCGCACCATCCAGGTGGATGCTGCCCATTGGTGGTGGAGGGGAGTCCCCATTACCTGTAAAGCGCTTTGAGTTGAGTGTCCAGAAAAGCGCTATATAAGTGTAAGCAATTATTATTATTACTATTTGGGATCATCCTGGACCTTCAAAGAGTACCTTCTTCAAAATAAGTTGTAGCAGGGTTTTTGTTTTAGTTTAATGAAGAATTTAGGATCTGTCTCAACTTGTAGACTGATCTGTAGTTCGGGATCTGAATGCACTCGGGAACACACTGGTGACAATGTGCAGGCTCCCACTGTTCGGTGCTTATTTTTGTGCTAGAGTATGCAGAAAACAAAACTATTTCACAGTGTTCTAACTAAAAAAAAGAAAAGAGCTGGACTATATCCTGTAGCATCGGCTACCATTCTTTAATCATCGAGCAGCAGAAACCATAACAAACTAGACAAGGTAAATATCATAGTTTTATTTTTTTCAAGTACATGTATATAGAGCATCAACACCAGCTCTTTGGCATTTTCCTTTGATTGCACATGAATCTGTTTGGCTACAGTCGACCCACTGAGGCAGCTTTCCGTTTAACTCGAAGTCACAGACTGGATGCGAAATCAAGTTAAACTGGTTATGTCTTAGGAATGAGAATCCCTAATAACTATGATAAAGTGCGACTTCAAAGCTAACAACCTAAAATAGTTTTGGTAGCATGCTGTCAAGCTGGGCATGAGAGTTCCAGTTAGGTGGATTTTGTCTTGTAAATTTAGGTTCTCTGCTGGCTTACATCAAAAATGATTGATTAGTCCTACAAGTTTATTTGAGACAGTCATGCAAGAAGATGCACTTAACAACAGACTCCAAAACAGGATCCCTACTTTTAACCCTTTTGTATCTTGAGCTCTTGATGAAGAATATCAAGGCACCCCTAGTTTCAGATAGGATATATATATACACATTTCTGCACAAATAAAACATGACATATCTGAAGATTATGGGAATGTGAATATTAATTATCTCTGGTCATTTCACAATGCTAGACAGTCTGAAGAGCCTTCTAAACCCACATTGCATATATAAAATCAAATTAACAAAGTAAATATATAATCACACACATGTATATATACCTAAAGGATGTATTGGAAATTTTGAAGCATAAAATGGTCCAATGGACAGCTAGTTGTGTGGAGTCTTTTGCTGATTTGCCAAAATGGGCTAGTCAGACCATTTTGTCCTAATGTGCATCTTAATTTTCTTGAAAATCTGTTATCGCCCATAGCTGATACAAGAGTCAGTAGACTCAACATGTATCTCATGTACCATCATGTAGAGAACTCGCAGTGAGGAAACAGCACATTTGGGTATTGTAGTTTTTTTTTATCTTCCGCCTCTTCTCCTGTTAATCTGACTCATTTCATGAACTCTCGCAAGCCTGTCTTATATATAGCCATGGGTGAAACATATAACATGGGCTGCTGTTAACAGGAGTTAACCGTCCTTTCTACACTTGGATTTCTACACTCTTGTTCGTGTAACACTTCTTTTCCAGAAGACAGAAATTCATATATAGCACCTGTAGGAAACCACACTAACAGGGAGAACATACCAATTCCACACAGATAGCAGCCCAGTACTGGTAGGTAGGGCCCCAGCTCTGAGAGGTAGCAATGCTAACCACTGCACCTCCATGCCACCTGGTACCATTTAATTTTATAAATAAAAGTTATTAAATTCCCCATGTAGACTTTCCAGTACAGCATATAATACATATATGTTACACGTATATACATGAATGTGCATGTTTAAGTGTTTAGACATGTGAGATTAATGTTAAATTGAGGGAGGCACTTTTTTTTTTTTTTACACAAAGGGTTTGGGGAATCTGGAATGAGTTGTCTAGCAATTCCGTAAAAACTATGCACTGGCTTCTCTTAAAAAATTATCAGATGAGACCCTCTGACCAATTAGCTACTAGGATCCAAACGTCCATGATGGACTGAATGGTAATGACACTTTGATTGCTTTTATGCACCCACAGAGAAAATCAATACTAGAGGCAACTGAAGGAGAGGAACCTCCTTTATGATAGCTGTAGTTCCTGCACCACACAAAGGGCTACTTTTTCCAAATACCTCTACACTTGAGGGCATGGCCTTTTCTTGTAGTGTTACTGGGAATACTCAACTAGCCTGGATGACACCCTGCTATTTTCAAGCTGCAGGACCCCCATCCTCTTCTCTGGGACTACTTTCTAACTCTGGGAACTCCGGTGCTCTCGAACCTGTCAGTGAGTCCAGATTTTCTTTTGATAGGTTTGGGTCATCACAAAAAACCTTCACTCAGCACAAGATAAAATGAAAACATGGTGGAAAGTGCACCAGCAGGCCACAGCTCAGCACCAGCAGAAATTCTATGTCATCAGAAGGACACCTGATGCTGCCATTAAGAAGAAAATGGCAACATCACTTAATACACAGGAAGCCACTGGGGTCAAAGCTGCATAGCAAATCCAGGAAAGCTCAGTATAAACTCACCAGCGCCCCTTAGGAAACCTCTGGACAAACAAGTCTAACAGGATCAAGTCACTCAAAAGCCTCAGATACCACCCTTTTTATACACATAGTCCAATAGGAATTCTACCACTTCACATTTGTCAATCAAAAAATAGTCTGTGCAGCACTCTATATAACAAATGCAAGTCAGGTATTGATCCAAAGAAACATTAATCTCTTTTTCCTCAGGTATAAATAGGTTCCATTCTAGTACTAATTATTTTATAAAAAGATTTATCATGAACTTGTTTCCATCATATAAGGAAATTAAGAAATACTTTGACATAGGGCCTCTCTTCATACAAATAAACAGACCTCAGTATTACAGTATTACCTATTTAAACTGCAACAGTAGCAGCTGGATGTTTGCAGTGTAGGCTATAGATGTGTTTCCATTTCGCCGATAATTTCTAAAACCAAGAGGCTTTTATAAAGAAATGCCCAGCTGTGGTGAACCAACTTTTATATTAAAATGTATTTTTGATTATAATAATAAATTATTTTAGACTATTTACAAATGTGACTACATTTTAAGCGACTAAATACATTTTTCTATGGTAAAATTAACATTGAATATTCTTTTTGGTGTATTTCAGGATTCCCAAACATCAGGGATTTATTATGACTTGAGAATTCTACCACATTGGTTCATGCCTTTCTTTATAAGAGAAAAATATTACTGAAAAGTTTCATTTTCCATTAACAAAAGCCAGGCACAAAACATCGCAATCTAAAAGCATTTCAGAACGAATGTTTCAATGATACTTATAATACCGAACTAGGAAAGAAGAATGAAAGACTTAACACAACCCATCCCCTTAACGGACAATACTTCAAGTAAGGTTTTATTTAACACTTAAATTCTAAGCTGAAACCAGTGATCATTAATGTTGTCAGGTGTACAAATCAGCCATCCTTAAAGCACAGTTTGGTGCAAAAATGTGACAGCATTTTTTTACTTTGAAAAAATTAAATGTGTGAAGAACATTTCTAGCTACAGACGTTTAAAAGTGTACCTAGTGTGGCCCAGCCATCCGGCACCAAATGTTCAGTTTAAGGATGACCAGTTGCATATGTTAATTGTACAGTAAACCACAGGACTAAAGCATTTTCTATTATGGTCCTGTTTTGTTTGCTCAGTAAACAATCCAAAATGACAGAACGTTTCTATAACATTTATAACACACCCTAAGCAAGGTGTGTAAAAAGGTTTATCTCATACGTTTTCGTTGCCGCAATAGAGGTCTGTGTTTGGTGGCTGCTTGGCTAAGGCAGCAGGAAGTCGTTTGTGACCGAGTCTTGACAAAGCAGGAGGTCCCGGTATTTGCACCCCGCTTGAAGTTCCGATGCTTTGCCTTGCCCCCACGCCTAGGGTGTGTTATAATCGTTATGTCCATTTTCTTGGAATCATACCTATTCTCCGGATCGTCGTCGTCGTCGGCAGGTGATGCAGGACCATGTTTGACCTCTGCTTCATCCCCTAAAACGGAGAACAAAAGCTGGTCACTTTAGTCTTTACAACATTAATCTTTACAAACAGCACCGTGGCCTAGCAGTAAAGATCATCTGCTATCTGATCCCCAAACTTTCTGCTGATGTAGAGACACAATCTTAATTACCTGTGGGGGACGCAAAGCTCTGGCAACAAATGTTTTATGCCCTGTTTATATAGACCATTTGTAAGAATATAAGTTTAGCTTTTATACGATGCAATGAATCAATAAGTAAAAATGAACTGATCAAAGCAGTTTAGTTTACCTATGGTGATAATCCATTTAGTGATCAAGGCCCATAATCTGCACCAGTACACAGCTGTCACATTATCTTCCAAAATGTGCTCCTCCTCACTTAATAAAAGCATTTTGTTTTAAATATAACCCATTTTCAACCATGGAAGATTTAAAAATGTCTTGAAACACATACCAGAATGTGGCAATCCATGACCAAGATTGATTATTGCCAATTTAGAACAGCAGCTCTGCATTAAGCTAGAATTGTAGGAAAATATTTCCATTCAAACCAACATGGAACTCAATGGTTAATTCTCTCGCAAGGAATTCAGCAAGGTTTCTTGACATCTGCAAACGCAGTGTACAAAGCAACTGGCATTTCCTACCAATTTATTTTACTAACCACTATCCTTACTGATTGTTAAAGTTCATCAAATGCATCAATGAATCCGAAATACTTTCAAAGTGTTCCTAAGATCAAACAACCACCTGCACTCAATGTCTCCCAGCAATAGTCATCTGTCTTTTTTAGTACTGATGCTGCCTAATAATTTAAAAGTACAGAACAAGAGAATCTGCTGCATTCTGGGCAAGTCTATTGCCTATGCTAGCCTTAAAAGCTGGACCGTCTTACTCACAAAAGGTGTTTAAAAATCAAGTGTAAAAAAACAGGTGTAAAAACTATTTTGTAAGACATGTCTATCAAGCATACGTAAGGCAGTATTCACAAGGTGATGAATTCTTAATTGATGTAGCAAGACAAGTGTTCTCAGAAGGCTGTCTGTCAAAGAGTAGCTCAGCTTTTATAGTCACCTACTCAAAGAGTAGGTAAAGGGTGTCTAAACACCCAGTACCCTTAAGATAAGGTGTGTCTTAAGGAAATTACAATTAACACAGGGACCACTTATTATAAAAGGTACAGCTATAAAGCATAGAAGTGAGGGAAAGTGTAGGAGAACAATCATTTTTCGGAGCATAACAAAATATTGTAAATATTTTATCATTAAAACATTTTTAACAATTTTTTTAAGCCGCAAACCTTTACAGTGAAATATATCACTTATAAAAATGTGTCTGCTGTGTAAAAATGTATCATTAAACAAGTACAAATATTTGTGGCCAAAAACTGTACCCCAAATTTCCCAAGCAAAATTCTGTTGTGCTATAAAAGACTGCTTAACATGTCTGAACATTTCTTCCTTTGATACACATTTGTTTGTATCGTTGTATTTTTCAGTGAACTCAGTCCTCTCAGCTCTGTACCTTTCTTGCTCTCTAATAAATGATATTTGTAACTTTTCAAGGAGTGCCACAGTCATGAGATACAACATGGTTGCAGGTTTGAAAGCATATCAGCATTTCCAAAGCTAAGGATTGTATTTAATTACATCTGCTTTCTATCAGTGATAACAAGAGAGTTAAGGTGCGCTTTATGTTTGTTAGGAAGATCTTTTGAATACCGCATGCATCCCCTCAGTAATATCTTTCTTCATCGTTTGCATATATTAGCATGCATAAAACATATTGAGCAATTGCAAATGAACACTAATTACACATTCTCGTATCTTTTACTTTTAAATGCTTCTCATTGTGGTTGGAGAATGTTTTTTTATATTGCACTCCTTGTGGATAACTTGCTTCATTTGGTGTGACAATGACTTTAGTGATTAACACTGCTCAGCACGTTCCCTTATCTATATGAAATATTTGCAGTCCACCTCTCCCAGCGCTGAGGAAACAATGCCTCCATGCCACATGGTATAATTTAATTTTATACATAAAAGTTATTAAATTAGCAGAGTTCTTACTAAGTCAAATTTCCAATACTGAATACAATACACATATGTTGCATGGCCAGCAAGTCACAAATGTGTTTCTAGCAAATCAACTGGAAGTGAAAATTTATTAGTGTTTTACATCTGTATTGATTTTTAAAAACATTAACACCTGAGCTTGTTCACTGCTCATGTGTGAATAATTTTTTTTAGTTCTTGGATTTGTTTGCATGAATATTTGAGTAGACTTAAAAATATGAAAGTGTGGGGAATTCTGACCATAAAATAAAGTTGTGTCAGGAACCCAGCCTGCATAACAAACAGTATCAATATTAACGGATGTACATGTCAGCTAACGTTTGACTTTGCATACCTAAATCTAAAAATGACGTTTGTTTTGATGGTTCTGTTTAATTACATTGAGGGAAGAGGTAACCGATATTTATATTTAGTGACCTCTTGCATTTAAAAAGAGCCATAAAGGCAGATCTACACTGCTTCTGACATGTGGTTTAAGCCCACACCCATCTTTCCACAGATACTAATCTATACTAGTCGTTTTATTCATCTGTGTCCTGAACCACTGCCTAAAGTAAGCTTTTCCACCATTTCAGCCAGCAGCCATATCACCCTGCAATTCACAACAGGCAACCCACTGAAACTAAGCAGGTGTGAGCCTGATCAGTACCTGGATGGAGACCTCCTGGAAAAACTAAAGTTTCTGCTGGAAGAGGTGTTAGTGGGGCCAGCAGGGGGCGCTCATTCTTCTATGTGGGTCCTAATGCCCCAGTATAGTGACGGGAACACTATACCGTAAAACGGGCACCGTCCGAAAAGAGTAGGGGTTAAACCCCGGTTTCCTGGCCAAATTTCCCATTGGCCCTTTCCAATCATGGACTCCTAATAATCCCCATCTATGAACTGGCTTCATTACTCTGCTCTTCTCCCCACTGATAGCTAATGTGTGGCAAGTGTTCTGGCACACTACGGCTGCCATCGCATCATCCAGGTGGATGCTGCACATTGGTGGTGGTGGAGGGGATTCCCCATTACCTGTAGAACGCTTTGAGTGGAGTGTCCAGAAAAGCGCTAAGTGTAAGCAATTATTATTATTCTCTTCTCTTTTCCTTATCTTTCAATGATAATATACCGCCAAAACCACATAGACAAAGACTATGGTCAGTAATTAAAGAACGTACTATTTAATTCATTTAATTCTATGTGAATTCCATTATTATTCCAGGCTATGTCACTGTCACTATGCGATGAACACCGGAGCCTGTAAAGCACCTTGTAGTGCTTCACTTCCACAGTGAGTTTTAAGCAATTCACCTTTGAAACAATTCTCTAAATAAACTTCACTCCAAACAGGATCTAAAAAGTGGTTCGACACCTAATTGTTTGTCCAGCCCATCGATTTGTCAAGCACTGCAACCGTAGAATTTGAATGACAGTTCACAGAAACTAGGGACTAACAGGCCCCTCCGCAGCTCTACAACCATCCTATTATGTCTGGGGTATAGCGGGCTATTGGGACACCATATTGGTTTAGTATTGAATAAAAGAAACGCGTACCTAGCATTACATAGCATATTTTTATATAGCAGTGTTTTACACTCCATTTACTTGCTGACTTAAAAAACTGAACAATACGCAGAGCCTCTCACTAACAGGCGTGTGCTGCCATTGTAGATATCATCACTGACCACAACAAGGTCATATCAGGGAGGCAGAAGTGCCTAAAAAACGGTAAACACATGACTAGTGCAGAGTAACCTTAATTCTGCTAGATGTTCCTTATAAAAATCAAATACAGTATGGTCTCGACTTTCGTGAGGGTTTGGTACAGTGAACTGCTGCAAATAGCTGGATTCGCATATAAACAAAGCCCATCCCCATATCATCTCATAATGTACTACAGTATACAGTACTCATGGTAAAAAAGCATATAAGGAAGGGTTACATAGGTCAATTAAAGAACTAATGCATTGGCTAAAAGTTCATTTAAATTAATACTAATCAACTAAAATAAACAGCAGAAATTACAAACCTATAGCAACCAGCTAAAACATGAACTGACACTTTCTGTCTTCACCTCCATGATTATCACGCCCCACTATAATAAAACGGGCAATAAAACGGTCAGTGAGCCTGTAAAGTCGTCTCCAGCCTGTCATTCCCCATGCCAACACGAAACGGGAGTCTTCATTACAATATAAAAACAGGACGATGTTGAGATGTGGATGTAATGGGTAATTGGGAAAGTGTCAGGGTGAGGCGCGCTCACTGGCTAGTTTCGTCTCATGATCCTAATCTGCTGTGCAGCTAATTTCAAAGTTGCGGTTAACAACCTTCAGCTGTTAAATTCTCAGACACCACTGTCGAGACCCTGCTGTATATGCATAAAACAATGAGTTACACAAGCAAGTGAATTAACAGAACTAATGATATTTTGGTTTTAATGGATCAGTTATGAGCTTTAACCTTCACAGCACCGTCGCTGGGCAGAGAACGAATTAAGCAGTGGTGTCAACACAAGCGTCGTCTAAAACATACCTGATGACTGGCAAAATGCTTCAACTTTGGGCCCAGTGATTTGTTCTACAATGGGTTTAATCTTCTGATCGTCACTGCTGCCCTCTCCCCTGTCTTCCCCTGGCACCTTCTCATCTTCACTGGAAGAGGACGGGGAGGAGGAGGACTCTTCAGTCTTCTTGGGTTTCTGTGCCTTGCTTCTTGCTTTGACAGTCTTTGACTTTTCTTTAGATTCATCTGGCGATGCGCTAGAGAGGGAAGTCGATACCTTTTCATCATCCTTTTCTTTCTGTTTTTTAGATCGCCGACTTCCCTTCTTGGAAGCTTCCAGCTTGCTGAGGCTCTTCATTTCTTTCTCCAGGTCAGAGTCGTAATTTGAGGAGTCTGAACCTTTCTGCCTTCTTTTTTTGGCTGCAGCTGTAGCCTTCTTGGCCACCCCCTTCACATCAGGGTCAGACTCGGAGGATGACCCTTTCAACTTGCGCTTGGCTGCTTTCTTGTCCTGAGAGGGCGCGGTGCTTTTCCTTAAGCTGAACAAGCATTTCCTCTTGACGCTTTTAGGAGAGCCCTCGTTACTTTCTGCTTCAGGGGAGGTGGGAGCCATTGCTGCTGTCTGCAGTAGGATGGCAGGAATTTCCTCAGAATCCGAGTCTTCTGTGTTTTTGCTGGACTGAGCAGGCCGTGCTACTGTTTTTCTGTTCCCCTTCGTTGATGGCCCATCCGGCTTCTCCCCACGCTTGGACTGCAGCTTAGTTCCAGGGCCGTCATGGTCTGTGTCGCTCTCGCTGTTGTCAGGTGTGTGCGTCTGCACACTGTTGCTGTCAGCGGGCCTCCTCAAGGGTGTAGTCTTGACTCGAGGAGAATGTCTATTCTCTAGCCCCTCCTCAAGTGCAAGCGAGTCCTCATTTTCTTCATGGGCAGGTTCCTCTTCACAGTCTTCATCTTCCTGGTCCTCTTTTCTTTGGGAGGAGGAACTTGGTGACCCATCCAGTGGCACAGGGGTCAACTTCACCACAAGCTCTTTAGTTACCATGGCGGTGGGTGTGTCTAAATTTGAGGACTTAACCGAATTTATACTGGACAATTTCAAAGTTTTACGAGATTCCAAAGGACTGCGTACATTCTCGTCTGGCATATCAGAAATGTCGACAGAGGAGTCTGCCATTTCAAAAAGCTCGTCAGGGACAGAAGAAGGCACCGTGACGATTTCCTTATCAAGGGAGGACTCGCAGGCTGGAGCTGACTCTTCCTCGCAGTCAGAGCTCCTTTCAGAATCCCGGGAATTCTTTTCTTTGGGTTCACTTTCTGCTTCCATGGGCTCGTCAGTTTCTCCAGGGGAGGGTGCGGGACTTTCTCTCATTTCAGCATCATCTTGGACAGCACACTCAGTGTTTCCATGTTCATTTTCTTCCAAAGCATCCACTGAAGAAAAATCTACAGTGTCCTCTACTTCAGGGTCATCTTTTTTTTGAAAGCCAACATCTGTACTGTCAGTAACAAACAACTCACCATCAGTATCTTCCTTTTGTGGCTTTAAGCTACCATTATTGACCTCACAGACAGTCTCATCTCCGTTTAAAAGCTCTAAGCCCTTGAATTCCTGCTCCAAGGCCTCTTCTAGCGCAGAATGGGCTTTCTTTAAATCTGTTAATACTGATTTAAATGCTTTCAAATGTCTTAATCTAATCAAGTTGGTTCCTTGCTCTTCTAAGCCCTGCTGTATGAATTTGACAAAAGTAGCATTCAAACCAGTTGTGGTTTCCACTAGCTTTTTAGTTTTTTTAATGAGTTCTTTTGGTACCTTCAATGCTTTGTAAGAAAAAGTAATAGTCCCTGAACTTAGGTTGTCTGAACCATTCTCCTTCCCATTTAAAGCAGCTTTATCTTTCTGCACATGCTTGCGTGAGTTCTCATCCCGGTTTGATTTGTCATTCTCAGCTTTTGCTTTCTTTTTGCTTTGACTCCATAAGTGCTCCAAGTTTTCTAGCACACTGTCACAAGCGGTAACCAGGTCCAGTAGAGGTTCTGGACTGCATACATAACAGTACCACTTGCTTTCGATGTCCATGATGCTAGACAGTTCCTTTCTTCCCAGATTACGCAAAATACATTTTTTGCAAAAGGCATTGTGACAAAAGTCACAGCAAATCAAGTTACCGCCCTCGGCGCACCACCTGAAAAAAAAAAGGATCAATTTCACATGTAAATAAATTCATAATCAAAAGCACAACCTTGCATTCATCAGAAGATAATGACAATATAATAAACATTATTTTATATAATGCCTTTAAAGGTGGCTTCTCAAAGCGCTTTACAGAATGACAACAACAATAAATAAGAAGAATACATAAGATAAAACACAATTACAATACACAGAGGAGACCATAGATGGTAGTACTAAGAAAAGCAGAGGGGTGAAAAATGGAACCAGTTAAGTAAACACTCTTCTAAAGAAGACGGTTTTGACTCTGGATTTTTAAAGAGTTTAGAGAAGGTGACTCTCTGATATCCTTGGGCAGAGAGTTTAGAGGTTTGAGGCATAATAGGAGAAGGCCCTGTCACCCATACAATGTAGACAGGCTTGGGGGTCAGTTAGGAGACCAGAATTAGAAGAGCGAAGTTTGCGAGGTGTGGAGTAAGGCGATAATAGACAGGTACTGAGGTGCCAAGCCATGCAGAGCCTTACAGGTGAGCATGAGGATTTTAAAGTCCACACGGAATTTGACAGGAAGCCAGTGCAAGGACTCCAGGATAGGAGTAACTTGATCACTTGCACTAGACCTGGTCAGGATTCTGGCTGCTGAATTTTGGACATACTGCAGTAAAAAATAACTCAACTAAACTGTAAAATACAGTTTAAAATCTTAAATGAGAATTTGTCTTCTTCATACTTATAGTAACAGGACTAAGAAAGAGTTTAAAAAACACATTTCATACAATTCACCCTCATACTGCACAGTTTGAGCAGGCAAGCTCAAGATACAAGGTTTCCAAATGGAATTTAAAGGTTAAATTTTAATGCTCTACAGCCTCAGAGCTAGAAAAGGTGTTGTGTGAAGCATCTGAGATGTGATGCTGCTACAAAATTACAGAAAAACTGTTGATCACATTTAAAGAATATTACTCACACAACCTCCACTCAGCTGGGATTTTCCCCACATGCAACTGTACATGATTTTATGAATGCATGCTAATCTCCTTGTGCTCTACTTCTTTTAGCACTGTATTTTACATATTTAACATCCTACCTGCACTGCTCATCCATCCCATCGGCATCTTTACTGATGTCATCACTCATGTAATACTTGAAGCAGGCCTACAAACATACAAAAGATATTTTTAGCATCAACATAAAATTCTGATATATAAATCTGGGAAATTTCTGTCCCCACAGCTTAACATGGACAAAACTTAAAATGTAATGTGAAGCATTAATGTTAAATCCACAAACAAAAATTAATTACAATAGTTAACATATTACCTAGGGAATTCTTTATACATCTGTGATAGCTGCCACAATATAAGGTAAACCTGATTAGTAATTACAATTAATGGAATTTATATTGTGTAGTATTATAAAAAAAAAATGTAAGATTCTTTTAGAGGCCAATGTACAATAATCCTACAGAAATCTTTTCACACTCGATACCTATATTAAAACATTTAATAATTTATATCCTGGTTCATTTATGGTCTGGGTTTTTAGTTTAATTAAACTGAATTAAAAGATCTAATCTAAAATGTGTTCTCATCCAACAATCAGCACATTACAATGTGCTGATTATAAAGAAGAAGCATGGGAAATTGTGACAAAACAGTTTAAAGGGCAAGTAATGAGGTTTCGACCACTGTGCAAATTAAAGGGGAACAACAAAGCTATTTTTATATTGATAGGCTAGACAGAATCAGAATCCATGAGTACATTTTCAATCGCAATCAAAGCAAAATGTACGGTTACTTGCAAAACCACTAATTTACATAAATCGTAGATTAAATTTCCAGGCGTGCACAGCGTCATTTTTTGCAATTCAGAACGAGGCAACAAAACTTCTAATGGTGTGAAGCGGCCCTATTACACTGTAACCAAGCAGGCTTGTGAACACATCTCTTTCAACCCAATAGAAATATTGCTCTAGACTTCAAGACAGATATGCAAATAAATGGAACTTACTTGTTAACTCTGCATGCAGGTCATGTTGGAAACTTATTGTAGTGAAATGTCTGCTGCAGTACCTGTACTTAATTTACTCTAACACTGCATAACATAACAGTCAATACAGTTACTAGGGAACAGGATGGGGCTGCTTCCCATTAATTTGTGGGAACTTTTGTCCGTGGGGAGACCAGGGGTTTGTGACATACAGTACTTTCACATAGTTCGCAACTTTGTGCTGAATTATAAATTTGTAAATTTGTTCTACACCCCCAATGAATTGACTTTGTTACTGAGATTTAATAACCGGTCTGAGAAACTGTCCTTTAGTTCCCATTTAACTGAAAGATGCCCTCTAGGTATTCACATTATGATGACAGCAGGTGTGCCACAATCATTCCAACTACTCATAAACCTACCTTGCAAACAAGCACTTTAAGCACAGGATGTTGAAAAAAGGAATCTTTTTGGAAATGGTTGACTTGTTGTCCACAAGCGGTGCAGCTGACAATTCCATGTAAACGTTCGTCTGTTAAAAATAAAAATAATGCAGGTGGGCATCTTAAACAAAGATGGCATTTTGGACCAGATGCTTTTAATCATATTTATAGTGGTCAAGTGGAGGCTGAGATACACCGGAAAATATGTGACTTTTACCAGGAAAGGTTTGCTTTATGAATCAGAAAGCGTTTAGGAGCATGTTTTTAAATCATCTGTGTTTAGGACAGGCACATTTCTTATGATTGCACCATAAACAGCTAATATTTTCTCTCAGCTCTCTCAACAGCTGAGAGAAAAGAAAAGGGCAGCCTGATGATCTTCTAAGTTTGTCTTTTTAAATTCCTTCAGCATAGTGCATTGCTTGTGGATTGAAGTTATATTCATGTGAAGCACCTTGAAATTTTCACACTGGACTGAACTTCAAAGTGGATACATTAAACATCTGCACAGCTAATATTTTTACTGAAAAGCCTTTAAAATGCAGCTGCATGTTACAAATAGCTGTGTAACTATCAACTGTAGGTATCTCTCCAATTAACTATCTGAATTCCAAAGCTCCTCCAATCAGGAACATCTGTGCAGGGATGACAGCAACTCAGCCAGGAAGTCACCACCCACACAATATTATTAAATACAAAAGCATACCACATGCAACAAATTAGGCTAAATTAGGACTGATGATTAGAATTGTTTCAGTGTACAGCCCTTAGGGACAGATTGGCCAGTTAGAGGATGGCTGGTTTGTGTATTTCAAATGGAATTATTACAGAGCTCATTATACAATAAATACCAATACTTTACCACATAAATAAGAAGTATTGTAAGAGATTATGAATCCCTGAAAAAAAAGGAAGAAAATCTCCAGAAAGAAAATGAAAACCAATACCCACTTGCATTGACAGGTATGTATTCCCTTAAAAAAAGACTCAGTTATCATAGCTCTACTCACCTCCTCGTTTTTTGGAGAGTTCTGGTCTAGGTTTGCCAGATCTGCTTCTAAACTCTGGGCCTCTGAAATCATCTTTCACTTCGTTTGACACAGGTTCTGGCTGAACCACCACTGTTCCTGAGTGGAATTCAGAGAGAGAGATTTTGTGATTATCTTCTGCTTCCTCCTTTTCCACACCTCACTCTCATTTTCTAGGGTGGAGAAGACCCACAAGACTCATCGCAGGGCTTGAGGAGTACGATTATGCAGAGAGGCAGAAATATTCAGTCTCTTGATGTGAAGTCTAAGAGAGGATCTGATTGAGGCTCTCAAACCTTTAAATAGAATCCCCTGACAAGTTCCCAACAGTTAAAGCAACTTATTTGTGAGCAGAAAACAAGTATATGCCTGGAAACTCTAAAAAGGGTTATTAATGCTGCCAATACTTTAAAATTTTTGTTGATAAAGCTCATAATGTAGGTGTAGGTGTGTGTAAAATGGGATAATTCTAATCATCAATAAAAAACAGAGACAAGGAACCCTCCATAAAATATTTACCAAAGAGTCCACACTGTACAATCAGGACTGGGAACCTGACAGAGTAGGACCCAGACTTGCCAGAGTAAAGCTTATGATAGACCAGGCACAATAAATAATCAATATCTATACTGGTGACCCTGTGTCCATTGAGCATGAGGATTATAACACACAAGCATATTTTGTCAAAGCAGCTTCCCACATGACCATGGTCATACATGAAGGAGTACGGTTTTGTATTTAATTTAATAGTTACAAACTGTGCTTCTTTCTTGGTGGGGCCTTTTTTGCAATTTGCCCACCCCCCCTCCCATCTCTAGTTTTCACCTCTGAAAACCCTGGGATATACGCAATATCTGTAAGGTGCTTTTTACACAGCTCTGTATTCAAAGAACTTCTGCGGAATGTCACACCCCCAGTATTCCAACAGAAGCTTAATGTTATTTAAATATGGTGTTTACATGGGAAACTCAAATATTCCCAATACAGCAGAGCAAAAAGCCATTTAATTTAACCATAATTCAGAGCTCCAAACTTTTGATGCACTGCAACTAGTTTAGGTACATCTTAATATTGCAAAGTGCTTACTGTAAATCAACTGTAAATAATTAAGGTTATTATTAAGGTAGAGCTAATTAAATGTAAACATTTTGTAGACATTGGAATTTTCCAACTTTTTATTGAATGCAAACTAAGGGTTCTTATCAATATCAAAATATTGCTGGGTCTTGTAACAATTTCATTGTTACAAGTGTAAACGCACATATGTGCAGTCATTAACATGAGGGAGTATTGGTCTGCTGGTAAACTATCAACCTTTGGCATGTGGTATCCTTACAGATTGAATTTCAGAATTCTGTTCATAACTGTTCTTTTGAAAACAACAGGTTCCCTTTAAAGTACTCAAAATTCCTGATGTCTTTCAAATGTAATTTCCAATGATAGTGAACACAGCTAATCATTTAAGCTTTCATTTGTTCTTTGCAAAGTGAAATTTAGGATTGTACAGATTAAGGCTAAATTTTGAGGATGAATAAATCTTACCTTTTGGCAATCTATTTACATCCAGTTTACTCTCTGAAGCACTGTCATTGGGCACTGTATCTTCATTTCCACTTTCATTTGAAGAATCTGTATCATCTATTCCAGTGTATTTGGTTACCACTGAAGGCTTCCTGTAAAAGACAAGTGGTACCTATCATCAACATATTAAATGGAAAGCTGTAGACTTTAACCCAGTGAGTACTAAATATACTCGTACTCACTGCTCATGAGTCCTCACAAATTTCATTACAAATTTTCACTTTTACAAAACTACTGCTGGATTGACCCTGTGATATTCCACTTTTACATTATTCTTTCACCTTCCGATGGATATTTCTATTTCATGGGGTGACGGTTTAAGAATTACACTTACAGTGATTCTAGATTTGGTTACTATAGCTAGTATGAAAAATAATCTCTGAAAATAATCTTAACATCTAGAGAGGACAGAACAAAGGCCTTGTGCACACTAGGCATTTAAACCACATCAGCAGCTTTGAAATTTAATGTTATCTTTCACGTTAAATAATCCAAAGTGAAACTTTCTGCCAGGAAGTGTGGGGCAGGAATATTGAACTGGATTTTTTTAAAATTTATCCTGCAATATCTCAAAAATGCTGACAGAATGATTACTGTATGAAAGGTGTAAATTTAGTACTCAAAAGAGGACCTGAGGAAGATCATACTGTAACACACTGACAACTTACATTTACATTTCATATGAAGAAGCAAAGTGCAATACAAAAGTCAAGCCACTTATTTATGTCCTACTCCACTATAACATGTCCGATTATTATTAGTTCAGAACTGGCAGCAATGCAACACGATTATGGTTTCCATTTTCCACTTTGTGAAATTTGTCTCATTGCAGATACACATTCCAAACCTCAACAAGCCTTCAAGTTAGAAAATACATTCCCTGTTAAAATGACACTCGATGCATTGCATAAAGAGAGGAAAAAAGATAGAAAAGAGACACCTCAATTCAACTTATTTCAAAGAATCATGGAAAAAAAGCAGTGCACTAAAGACCATGACTTTGGTGTACCTCAACAGGTTCCCCTAGGATGGGGTGTATTGGTTGAGACCACAACCAGCTCAATTTTAAAACAAGACGGAAGAGGCTGTTGCACACCCAGAGGAGTCATACCATTAGAAGAATTTCTATATGTGTATATATTGTGATTCTGTAACTTGTTTAAAGTTACAGAATCACTTGCAGACCATTTTTTCCCAACTTCCTCTGTGACTATAAGTTAAACACCTGAAGGCATCTTTAATGTGGGGATTAATATAGATAAAATGTTAATCAAAAGATGTCCTTTTAAAATAAGCAAATTCTTTAATCTCCAATTCATTCTGGTACAACATGCTGTACAGTAAGAGGTTTGCCATCTTAATGAAGTGCCACTGTCTCTAACAATGTTTTGGGATAGAATATGATCTTTTAACATCAATAGTATTTACTGGTATTGTTGAACACCTGGTGGGAACTACTCTTAAGTGTCAAAAATGTGGATTCAAAATGGGCACACTGGTAAACTGCATGATGAGCAAAACAATCTTTTGCTTTCATGAAAGACATGTTTGGGATATTGTATGGATGCTTCCGTGCAGATATCTGCCATTTGTAATCATTCTGTCAGAGCCAAAGCCATGAACAGCAACAGATACAGCACAATAAGGCAGTTGGGCCTGTTCTAAATAAACAAAATGCTCAAATAAAAAAAAAAACGATTTCTCTTGAAAGTCTTGAAGGTTACACAACGAGGGTATTCCCCAGGATAGGCAGATTTGTGGGCTCAAGATGGATAAGAAGTTAAAGCACTTCAAACAATTACATCTTTGACAGGTTTAAGCGTTTAGAAATATACTCGCTCTTGGATTCAGAACCTGTACCAAAACCTTCACCTGTCTATTACCTGCAAACATCAAACAACACCCAAACTCACAAAACCCCTGGCAAAGAGAAAGCAGCCTTCAAATGGTATATTTGGAGTCTCAAGAGGAAATCTGGAATGAACAGTGAGTAGGTGGAAGTTTTCATGTGTTCCAGTTGAGTACATTTCACCACAGTGAAATTTATTTGTATATGGAGAACAAGAAAAAAAGTCTTCCACTGTAAAAATATCTTCCACAAAGCACAGAACCACCATCTAATCACTTTATTTTTTGTATTGGTTTCTTACAAAGGACTGGTCAGCAGGTTTCTGGAGTGGTGTGGGGAGAACCACCTGCAATTGAATGTAACAAAGACGAAGGAACTGGTAGTAAATTTCAGGAGGAAAAAGGTCAAACCTACTCCTGTCTTTATCCATGGGAGTGGTGTGGAGATGGTGGACTCGTACAAGTACCTGGGAGTGCACATCGACGATAGACTGGAAAGGTCTAAGAACGTCGAGGCCATTAACAAGAAGGGTCAGAGCCGACTTTACTTCTTGAGGAGGCTCAGGTCCTTCAATGTATGTAGTAAAATGCTACATATGTTCTATCAGTCAGTGGTGGCGAGCGCCATTTTCTACACGGTGGTATGCTGGGGCTCTGGGATTAGAATAGTGGATTCTAACAGGCTGAACAAGCTCATCAGTAGAGCAAGCTCTGTCATTGGGTCTTGCCTGGACCCCCTGGATGTAGTGGCTGAGAGGAGAATGGTGTCCAAACTAGAGGACAACGTCTCCCATCCCCTCTATGACATGCTTGAAGAAATGAAGAGCACGTTGAGCAATAGACTGATTCATCCGCGGTGCGACAGGGAGCGCTACAGGAGGTCATTCTTGCCTTCTGCCATAAAACTGTACAACACATCCACCTCGCGTCTAGGCAGAGGCAACATTGACAGTTACCTCTTTTTGGACTGAACAGTTAACTGATACATTTGTTCTTTTTCTTTTCCCATTTACAACCGTTTTTGTGCAATACATGCCAGGGACCTGTGCAATACATTTATATTTATAGTCATATTGTGCAATACGACTTTTTTGTGTACTGTTCTGTTTTGGTTTGTTCTTTGTGTGTTCTGGACCGTGAGTAACACTTCTTAGTGCACTTCTCACTGTACTGATTGTATTGTATTATTATTATTGTATCATTCATTACACTGTGGCTGTGTTGTCTGTGTTAAGCTGCTGTTGCACTGCAATTTCCCTCACGGGATCAATAAAGTATCTATCTAAAGTACAACCATAGAAATTTACCGTGGATACACTTATAAGAACTGTCTTTTATGAAAACGATGGAAAGCAGAACTAACCTCTTTGACCGGGACGATGACGGAGACTTGGCTCTCTCCAAGGAGCTGCCAGGCTGTAGAACCAGAAAGGCACAGCATGTGAAAACCTGGCCTTGAGGCACATTATAAACATCAAGCAAAAGCTCAAACTAAACTTCAGGAACTGAGATTTAAAGGCTGAAATAACCACAATAAAAATCATCATTATTCCAGTATCATCAGTACAGAAATTAAAATTCAGACATGTGATCTTAATTACTGAACAGCTGGGAAGTTGCAGGGTGCCCAGTATCGAGCCCTGAGGAACACCAGACTTTAGAACTGAAACCCCCCCAAGAGAGACAAAGTCTCGGTAACCAGTAAGGTAAGACTTGAACCATTTATAAGAGCAATGTCGGAAACTCCAAACATAGCCTCAAGACTAGAAAGTAAGATGTCGTGGTTAACACTGTCAAAAGCAACATTGAGTTCAAGGAGAGTAAGAACAGAAAGAGCACCAGAATCTGAAGACTTAAGAAGAGCACATACCACAATTTTTGCAAACAACCTTTGAATACTGGGCGAAAAATGTTTGGGCTGTCCAGAGCCATAAATGTTTCACGCAAAATTTCTAAAGCAACTAGAGCAAAACCCTGAACAAAAAATAAGCTTTATCTTCAAACTTTAAAACAATAAAAATAGATATGTAATTATGGAAAACCAAGTTATTCAAAATATAAATTAAGTCACATATACTGTAAACACTTTTCAGTGATGTGCAATTATTTTGCTTGGATTGGTTAATTGAAGGAGTCTGCCAAGTGTCCTTCACACTAGAATAAACATTTCTTGGAGTTCTATTTATTTTTAAATGGATTTTTGCAAGGAAAACACCGGTCAATTCCATTCTGTTATGGGTTCGTTTTCTGTACCTGCAGGGTGAGATTCTGTGGTACCACAATAATAAAAATTTAAAACATAACTGTCACTAAGGGACAGCTTTTTGTGATGCTTTTCTTTTATTCCTCAGCAACTTTAATAGGTTCTGTGCCAGGAGTGAACAGCAAGCTATGTTAAACATCCAAACATCTAGGGGTGTATTAGAACATACAGTAATATAAGATTTAAATATAAGATTTAACTTCTAGTTATTTAGTTTCAGCTTGCACACTGATGAAGCTCCACATCCTAAAATACAATTTAGGATGTATGTGGAAAAACCTCAGAGTAATTAAAACCAGATATTTCTGTCTATACCAAGTTGACAGACCAGATTATAATTCTCAATAAAAAAATAACATGGCTGGAATTGATTGTAAATAATGTTAAGTGGCACAGCATGAATCATACAGCAAATTAAAGAATTCTACACAGCATTTCTAGATTGGCACAAGTATTTCCACAGTAATTTAATGGATATCCTAACTGTGCATTACTTTTTAATTTACTATGCACAGAACTGTACTTAAATGCACAGAAACTGTAGAACATGCAGTGCATGCAAGTTTACATATTCTGTAATATACGTCCTACCTTACTATCTACCTACAACAAATCAAATGTATTTAAGGATTGAAAACACATTCATGGTATATATTACAGAAGAACATTGCTGAGAAAGATTTTGTTTGCAGCTCCAAGGTTATGAATATGCTAAGAATTATGTGTTCAGAAAGATTACAATCTTTCTTTTTCCTTGAACTGAAAATAAGACCCTGGGACTGCTTAAATCCTTTGACTCAGCTTCTTAGGAATGCTGTTGAGATGGGACTCTAACACAAAACAGGCCACCATAAATTGGACTCATTTTGACGCCTCCCCGTGATAGAGTGCCTACATTGACGCCTCTTAGTCTGCAGCTCCAAGAGGGAGGCATATCTGGACTCGGACACAAGTTGGTGGTCATCTCTCATAAATCCACTGACGGGCCCAGAGAGGATCACCAGTGACGAACATGCCACGAGTCAACGCCCACTAAATCTGATGACGTCATGACCCGTCATCACCAATAGTGAAGCAATATAAAAGCTGCTGCTCAAGGGATACTACAATGCTCTCCAGGACCCAAACTACTTGACAATTAATGGATCACCACTTAAGTGCTGGACTACATAAACCAGAATTCAGTCCAAGACCTCCTCTGCAATGTGACAAGTTTTGTGATGATCTCCCAATTGTAATTTAGCCCGATCGCTGAAATAGCTCAGTTGGACATTTGACGACTCTGCTGAATACCAACGGATATTCAGCACAATAGCTAAAAAATAGGGGCAAGCAGACTTTTCTAAGTTTCTCCCATCCAGGAATCACCATCTAGGCTAGTTGCCAACTCCAGAATCTGTGTACATGTTTCAGTAGAAGCCAGTGCAACACTGACCACTGAACTCTTCCCCCTTTCTGCACTAACAGAACAATCTGTCAGCACTGGTTGTTACTATATACCACCAGCCTGAAAGTACAGGTTGTAAATTGTGGAGACCCGGGTTCAGAAAACTGGCTGGTATGGGTCAGAGATGTTGTTCTCCTCACCTAAACCCACTGGATTGCTTCCTGTAGTAAGTCTATGTCATGAGTTGCTTAGCTGCCTGTCAGCTGTAAAATCCTTTGATTTTGCTGAGGCCTGATGGTTTCACTGGTGGAGGCCTGGTACAATAGCTGCATGTTGAGAATGAGTCCACATTGAATTTCTTATTTAAATGGTTCATTTCTTTTGTAAATGAGAAAAAAATACAGTGGGAGGGTTTCTAGGTGATGCCTCAGAGTGTCTATCTTACAGCCTCATGAACATTACCTTCTCCTTTAAGAATTACATCATACAATACTGCATAATAGTAAGAAATCACAGTTTTGTCACAATTTTAACTTGCAACTTGTGAAGAACAAATACTTCTGTTATCCTGACATTTTAGCAAAAAAACCATTACCTGAGGTTCATTCATCTCATTTAAAAAAAAATAGAAAAATACAACAGGAGGGTTTCCAGATGATTACTTAAGGTGGCACAGGACAAGTAACTCAGGCCGCAGTGTGGGACTATAAACCAACACATTCAAGGATGCTACACAGTATGCTGAAGAGACCCTGGCCAGTTCTGAACCACCTTTACCTCAGCAGCATTTAATCACACCATGAGAACTTAGGAAATCATAAAAGTGGGATTCACCTAACCTTAACTTGAAGATCTTCATGAGATAAGCTACTTGAAAACTTCCCAGGTGCTATCAACATTACTCTGCTACTCACCCTTAACTACACATATAATAAAGTAATTTGGTTCATAAAAAGCAGGCTTCACATTGGACAGGTTGTCAACAGTTATGACATATTTGAGGACTGGGTGTTGGCGCCTATTCTTTAGATTGCTTTCATTAGAATTGGTAAGTAACCACTGTTTCACTTTCAGATGGAAAGTTTACATAAAAATGATCTTTTTATAAAAATCTAAATTATAAAACATGAGAAAACCATGATAACATACCTCTTCCATGACTTGGTCCTTTCTGTGCAATTTAATTAAACTCTTGTTAATTTTACCTGTGGATAAAAAACAGTAGTTCAGTGCACCTGAATAAGTTCAGGAGGAGGGTCCAATAACCTGGCAGCTCCTTAACAGAAAACTGCGGAAATTAAACATTTTTGGTCTCAATTTCCAACTGTCTTTGAAACGTGAGCAATTGATATAGACCTAAATAAAATGGTCTATATCCATTGCTCATCTATAAGATATAGACATAAAACACCTGTTTTATGGAGCTCAACTCCATAAAACAGGTGTATAAAATGTTACTGGATACCATGGACACATGGTATTGTAAATTATGAAAACAAATGGTGGGTATAGCATGCAACATTTACATTCTAATTGCCAACTTTCTATAAATCTGAAATGCAACTTAATACAATAGAACACTGGCATACTGTACTACACTATCATTGGTTATCAGGCATTTCATCACAAGGTGTCACACCACATCAAAGCCTACATAAACATAGTAGAAATCATTGTATGATTTTAAAAAAAGGAGTGAATGCTTTGCAAAATAAGGTCAAATTGTAATTATCGCAGGTCACAAATTATAAGAGAAGAAAAATTATAAGAGCATTCAGCTACTTCCATGATCCAGGCCATCACCTAGAACACCAAATCTCATAGCCTGTCATAGCCTTTACTTTCAGAAATAGTTCAGATCAACATATTTCACCTGTTGGAAATTGTCTAGTTACTTGCTTACGCAAGTCTGCAAATATATTGTTGCATGTTCTACTAATGTTTAGCCTGTGGGCACCTCTAATTATTATATAGACATTTCTTAGTAAGCATTTTAAAATCATTCAAATATTATAATTGCCACTGCTGTTTCAGTTACCATTTTCAAACACTCCAGTGAACGCACAAACTGATACTGTTCTTATATTGCCAAACCACTGTTCTCAGCGTTTGCCTTTTTCTGATCCCAGACCTACTAATTCTTACTTTGTGCAGAACGTTGCCGTTTCTTATTGTTCGTTTAAAGGACCATCCATACTAGATTAACCAAAATCAGCAATATTACACAATTGCTACTGGTACAAAGCAAAAAAATAAATACAAGTTTGTGACAAGGCATTCGACTAGACATACATTTTTCACCTTGATTAAGATAGTCACCACCCGTACGGTCCTATTACCTGAGTGCTAAGCTCATGAAGTTGCTTGAAGAGCTGAGTATTCATGTTATATTTATGTATTTACAAAAAGAAGCATAAAACATACTTTAGTTACACTCATTTCTAGTTGCAGCTGGAGGCCTGGAGTTTAAAGTTTACTGAGCACGAACACATACTGTATGTATTGCAGCATAATGTACTTAGATGTCCTACCCTGCACCTGATAAAAATGTGCACACACATCTTAAGACACTAATGCAAAGAAATGCATGCAGTCCAGTCAGTCCATTCTTTGATATCTCATAAAAGACCATTTCATTTCAACAAAGGATAACAGCTGATGGGACATGGCTACTATATCTACTGAAATATTTCATTACCCGTTTTACACCAAAGATCTATGGAGTACAGATTTCAGCCTTCATTACTGTAGTTTGATAATATTGTTTGTAAAGTGCAAGTATTTAAACAACTTGGTCACATATGCTGAACCATAAAAATACAGACTGCATTTCTAAATTGCACATTTATAACTGCCCAGTCCTTTACACTGTTCCCAATCCACAGGCTTAAAAACTTGCAGATTAAAGCAGCAATAATTATTTGCGTGGAAAAGCTCTGAAACTAAACACTACCTTGTGAAAATAAAGAAATGCCTACATTAGACATACTGGAGACATCAGAGAGCACATATGACACAGTTTCATTTATAACCCATAGTGGCAAAAATATCCCCTTTTCTTGATTTTTTAAAAATATTTCTGACATTTAGGATAAAAAAATAAGAATTATTGGTTGGTATCAACATGCCCAAAACAAATTATAATTATGAGAAGAAACATGGAGCTGAAAAACTCTAACATATTTAGGCTTAATCTAACACCACAGGGACATAATCCTGACCTTAATTTTTAAATCGTTCACATTTTGGGAAACAGCAAATTACGTCCATTTAATTATATAAATGATCACTCATATGATCATTCAAATTGAGTTTTCAGTAAAATATTCCGTTTAAAAATGTGCATGCATCATCTGTAATTCCTAAAAATAATGGGACAGCGTTGGAATTGAGCGTATGCGCTTGAACCTTAGTGTCACCGAATTCGGATCACGAAAGAGATTAATGTATTCATAGTGAGAGACTATTTATTCTTCTCCTGTCAGTGTTCACAGCATGTCAGAAGATCTGCAGGTCAAATAGGCAGGTGTCGTACAGTATGTGGATATAGCATTAAGTTGATTTAAAAACTTTCAACTCCAGATTGAGTTGAGTGAAAAAAATTGTCAGGTACTTTACATATATCCTAGTTTACCAATTTCTGTACCACTCTAATCAATACATTGCAGTATATTTAAATAGTAATCAATCTTTAATCTCCCCAGTGCTACCACATCTCCCTCACTTCACTGCCCCTACTGTTTCAGTCCTCTTACCCAGTGATCTGTCAGGAGCTGGAGGTGAACTGGTTTCTTCAGATTCCTCTGATGAATGGGCGAGATATTCATGCAGTTTCTTCACCAACGTATTTAACTTGCTCTTACTGAAAAGAAAGAATCAAGGTTGGAATCAGATTTAAATTCTGTACTTCTAGAACCTTCCAAGATTTGAGTAACAGAAGTAAAGCTGACTTTAAGGTACAATCCAGTTCTGGTCCACCAACAACACTTATGCAGCAACCTCATTCTTCTTAGAGATCCACCATCCCAGAACTCAGCAAGCCCATCTCTGTTTAGCTTCCGAGATCAGAAACTATTCTGGATTCTGTTACTGTGGTTTGACAAAATCAGGCAACAATGTACTAACGCTTCTACAGCGTGGATGTACAGCTAACAGCCACCGATTTAAAATATACATTTTTATAGCCCTGTATATTAATTGCTGTTCCATGCACATAGAAGGGACCTACATAAACACACAATGTAATGTTTTATAGCTCAGAATCATCTATAGGTTATGCCGTGCATGTCCTTGCTTCCTTCATGGATCACTTTACACTGCCGATGTTACATTTCATTTGCCAAATATCTCTCCAACCTAAGGCCTTCTGACAAATTCCATGAAGGTGCTGAACAGGAACAGTGCAAGTTCCCTTTTTTTGTTTTGCTTCAATCATTGGGTATGGCCCCCATGTTCACTGTCACTGTTTTTTGAGCCAACCTGATAGAAAAATTGCAAGGTCCAAAACCAGATGAGGCCAGGATGCTTTCTTATGTCATGAAGTCATACAACTGCCAAATATTCCTCATTGTACACTTAGAATTCTGAAATAACCATGCTTTAGCAAAATGAAAAACATCTTTGCAGTGCTTGATGCCAGATCTTCAAATTTTACAAAACCCAAGAATTATAGGGAACACATTCTTCTAAAAAGATAAGCAGTCAAAAGACATTTGCATTGCCTTGAACTTAGCTGCAACAGTTTACATTTTGTCTCACTAAACAGGTTTATTAGCTACATTAAATAGTGTATTTATTTTTGACAATCCTGTACTCTTCAAATGACAATGGGTCACCTTTGTAAAATGGCAGTTATGTTCAGACAAGATGGTGGTTCATCTGAACAACATTCTCCAGAATGCAATGAAGATAACCTGCCATCCTTAGTCACCTGACCAGCAGAAGGGAGAGAAATGGTTGGACAGCATTTACAAAACCATAATGTGGTTCATTTCCTTCAGTGTCAGACTCTCCTAAGCACAGGAACGTATCGTGTTGCCTCACTCTGGACCAATTCCAGAACAGCATTATCTTTTCTTAGAATGTGGTGCCCAAATTTGTACATTATCTGAATGATGCCTTAGAAGTGCATTTCACAATTTTAACATCACATCCTTTGATTTAAATTCTACACATTTAACTATATAGCCCAACATTTTTTGCCTTTTTAATTGCTTACCCGCATTGATTAGAGGAATGATTATTTTGGCATACAGTATTACACCCAAGTCTTCTTCACAGCCTCTTCTAGCTCAGCGTTTCCCATTTTGTATTTCAGGTTCTGTTTATAGCATACAAAACCCCAAACATGTCTCCAGTTAACAGCAATGATTTGGTCTTTGAGTTTTAACTTTAGTATTTCTGAAATAATCTATTGCTTCTAGTATTTACCTAGCCTCCTAATTTGGTATAATATGTCAAGGTGACTAGATAACTAACAATGCCAGATTATCCCAAACCAGGAAAAGAAGAGTTAGTTAGTTGTTAAAGTACTATTACTAATAGTAGTAATTATTAATATTCGATCTTACCGCGGCCATTGACACCGTAAAGCATGGCAGTTTAATTAATTGACAGGAGCATTAGACAGGTGTAAGCCTTTCCTTCTGACAGACAACAATTTGTTAACCATATCAACTTTAAAAAGCAATCCTGCCCTTGTTAGATCTGGAGTCCCTCAGGGCTCAGTCCTTTGACCCTTATCTTTTCAATATGGACTTTAGGCCAGGTTACAAAAAATATGGTGTCCAATGCTGAGGATAATCCAATCTACCTGCATGCATCACTGAATTCTCCAACTACTTGTTCAATGCTAATCAAATGTCTAGGAGACATACAGTTGTGAATGACTCCAAAGTGTTGCTAATTAAACAAGACTAAAAAACAAGCATCAGACCAAGATGATTTTAATTGGCTCTCCCCTTCAGGTCTCAAAATAGAATTGTCTAAAACTGACTTTGGGTGATACAAAAAATGTTCCATCGCATTCTGTTAAAAACTTTAAGGTGATTTCTGACTCTACCCTATCTTTCAAATAAGTCTAGAGCACATCCTTCTTGCATTCTGAAACATTTCCACTCTTACTCTTACCAATGCTGAGAAATTAGTTCATGCTTTCATCTCCTCAAAACTTGATAACGTGGTCCTGGTAATATTTACTATATACTGCAATGCGTCACTTGCTGGGTCATCCAAGAAACTACAGTATGCCCAGGACTGAGCTAAGTGGATACATACCAAGTCTAAAATATCCATATTTCTCCTATGCTGAACAACCTGCACTGGCTACCAGTCTCTTACAGGATTGACTTTAAAAATTCCAGTTGACCTACCAGGCACTGCATGGTCTGTCTCCTGACCACGGGCTTGAAGAGTTACTGTCGACTCATGTCCCAGTTTGTTTACTTTGTTCCACTGGCTAGACTCCTCAATGTTCAAGGACTTCACATAGTACATTAGGGCACTGAGCTTTCCTAGCAGTGACACCTTGTCTTTGGGATACTCGTCCTGATCATATTACAGCATATCTTCTTCTGAAGCTTTCAATTCTTGCCTCAAAACTGACTTTCCTCTGAGTGTGGAAGAGGAAGAGGATGAAGAGAGGGAGGCTGCCTAACTGTCTTCTTACACAGGAGTAGAAGAGGCTGCCTGCCAGTCTACTAACAATAGAGGAATAGGTGGAGGACAACTAGGTCCTGTACTATACCCAGAAAAGGAGGATACTGCTGCATCCTTCCAAGTGTCCAGAAGGGAAGCACTATCAGAGCACATAGCCTCTGCTGGGGCTCAATGCCCCAGAAGAGGGGGTGGCCGCAGCCACTGGTCTTTGATGCAACAGACCAGGAAAAGCGATGAGGTCATGATCTAGGAGGAGTGTGCCATTTGCCCTACCTACCCTCCTCTGTTTTCTTCTATCGCTCAGGGGATGAAGGAGGCCTTGGAATGGCTATCATCAGTTGGTTGATGGCCTCAATTATTGAGGGGGGTATTCAAGAGGGCAGTAGCTGGAGACAATATGGTGGTGCAAGTCTGAATCACATAGGTGGAAAACAACTGGTTTTCTGCATTCAATGTTCAGACAAGACACCAGAGCCTCCACTATGCTCTGTATTAGAAGAAGAAAGGAGCAAAAAAACAACAAAGACAAAGCCCAAAGTATACCATTTAAGTATTTATCACCATCACAAAGTTACTTTGAGATGAACAGTCCTAGGCAAGGACAGTTTCCAAACTATTTCAGGAATACCTCGTAATTTCTCTGTTTCTCCTTTTGCAATACATTTACTGACGCATATCTGCGGACTTTTAATTTTCCTAGAAACGTAACATCTGATATGCTCATGCTAGTAATACCCACCGATGGTGTCACTTTTGATTAATCTCCTAAAAACCTTATGTTCCAAAGCTCCAGACTCCATGCACTGGCTGTTTCCCTGGATTCTTGCTGTAAGGTCTGAGCCCGTTTGTATTGCACATTGTACAAGGTGATGTGGCTGTCTGCCATGCTACATAGAGCTGGCCCATCAGGAAGGTTTTACAGTAACATCTCGTGCGCCCAACATAGGCAAACAACCAAGCTGAAACAGAACCTTCAGCCTGACAACAGATTCAAAACCTGCTTAGGTCCATTAGGCAATGGGCAGAGTTATTCGTTTTTCTTGTAGCCACAACTACAGAAAGACCATGGCAATGCATCCAGCAGCATGTCTGAGTAAGGAGGTTTTACAACCTCATAAACAGCAAAAGTTTTTTAAAAATCAAGAAATGGATTCACTACAGAGAATAAAGGATAAATTCCTAATGGTAGCCGGGAATGCCATTATACAAATTGAAAACCAAAACACTTTTTTGCAATAGCTAACCACATGAAGCTGAAATCACGTTTTAATTATATGAAATATCTGTAGTTCAAAAATAATCTGGGTGAAGAAATAAAAAGAAATATGCACATTAATTTCAAAAGATAACAGATACTGTAATATACTGTGTTCCCTTCCATTTAACTATGATTTTATGACTTGGGGCAAACTGTTGAACAGGTTATTTAAGGTGCAAGAGAGGAGAACATCTGGTAAAAATACAGTTCTCTCCACTTCATTGTGAATTCATAACCTGTCTCCAAAAGCATTCCGTGAAGATGGTACTAAACTGAAACAAGATCTGCTGAAGTTAATGGATTTCTATTGAGTAACTCCGATGTGCAATTGTCCAGATGCCCAGAAAAAGTTATCTTTTAAACAACATCATCGCATCACAGTGGTCTCAAACCAGCCATTGCCTCAAACCAAGGCTTTATTGAAATTGTTCTATAAGAGTATACATTTTGTTTAAACCTTTAACCAATTACAATGCCATAACAATGATATAAATACTACACAGGGGAAACTAAATGCTATTTTAATATTTTGGGGTTAGAAAGAATCAGCACTGGTGAGTGCATTTCAATGTAAAATGTACACATTAACTTGTAAACCTTCCAATTTACAAGTTTGCACAGCACCAGGTTCTGCAATTCAGAAAGAGGCAACAAAACTTCCAGTGATATGATGCAGCCTTATTACATTGTAAAAAAACAGGCTTGTGAACACATCCCTTTTAATCCAATAGAAATTTGTAACATTCTTCTATAACGTCAAAGACTGTATTTTGTTACCAAGGTTTAATAAATGATCGGAGAAAATGGGACTGCAATAACCCTTTAAAAAGAAGATGCCAGATAAGATGCCAGAAGGCCAGTTAATGTTATTCTTTGCAAAACCACACAGTGGTAAACAATGAAACAAAAATAAGAGTCTCAAAGACCACAGCTACAAGAGATAAGCAGAAGCCAACACACTTCACATGGTTAGTACAATACTTTCATGCTTGTTTTATCTAGTCCTTGGATATAGTCACCCACACAACTTCATCCTAACACATGACATCATTGCTTTGGCTTGCTCCTCTGCTGTAAAAGCAATTCAAGCACGTTGACCCACACCTTCACCCTCAAACTCCATGCATCTTTACAAAATGGCAATATTTCAAAAAAAGTATGACTGATAAGTGGACTGTTAGGGACTGCTACTGTTATTCAAAAGCAGTTCTGCATTTTGCATTTTTTACTCTGCTAAGCCTAAAATTTACAGAGGCAACAGAAATAATAATACTAATTTACACAGATTAAGACAATCGGGTTCGCTTGAAAAGAAATCACTGTGCTAAAGCTAGCTGCAAAAATCCCGGCAAACAAAACTTGAAATCTTTAGAATTCCATCTTTAGTTTATTTGAAAATTTCTGTCATGAAAGCAGTTGGGGGAAAAAAAAGCTCGAATATCTGAGTTTGAAAGAAACAAAATCTGAAGCCAGCCATCCCAAATGAATTGGGTGTGAAAGCTCTCTTAAACAAGTGATGAATGGGGTCCATGGTCTGGAACCTTTTAACCACAATGGGTTTATCCTGCTTAAATATTTTCATCTGACACCATCAAGCTTTGCTCTTGGTAAAAAACACATTTAAAATTACAGCTTTCTCCACATTTCTTCTGATTAATATTGCTGAGCAAAAGTTTTAAGACATCTCAGACACAATCAGGAGTCACAATTAGAGTTATGAATAACTTTTGATGCTCAGAGACACCACTAATGTTTTCTACTACCATCACACTTACTAGTACTCTAACTTAGTTTGAGTGCCAAAAGTCCAGGCTTCTTATTTATCTTTTATTCAAATCGATAGGAAACTTGATCATAACTCACGATCAACTATGCAGCAAATACAAAGTATTCAAGGCAACCAATCAAAACTAACTGATTGTCCGGTATTTATCTCTTACACACCCACAGAACTAAATGATTACTTTTTGTGTGACAAGAGGCCTCCATTGGGATTAAAATTAAATTAAAAATGTCTCTAAAAGATCATCGAAGTTGTGTTTTTGCAAAATGGAGAAAAAACATCACAAAATGGAGAAACTCTAGATCTAGCCCTTTTTTTTACTGAGAGTTAACCAGTTGCTGTTTTGTAATTGTTCTTTTAACATAAAACACAAAGAATCTGTATCCGCAGTTTAACTCACAGTAAATATACGCAAATTCTCTTCATACTTTTGTAGGATTCCTTGCTGTTTCTAGCTTGGCACTTCTTGTCTTAAAGTAGATTGTATTTTCCCCAAACATACTGAGCCCTGTACCATAGTAATCACAATATCAAACTTCAACTAACAAAATCCTATTAGAAAAACAAAAATCTAAGAATTCCCATCTCAAGGAATCAATCAATGGTTTTGTATAAGGCATCTACAGCCAATAGAGTGAATTTTTAAATAATCCTCCATAAACATGATTCAGCGGTGGGCAAGACTTTTCAACATAGTTCCCTAACACATCCAGACACTTCTAAAACCTTTTCCCAAGGCTACAGATGCCCACCCAGTACCAGTGTTGGTTGAGACCAGAGTCGTTGATGGAACTGCAAGCTAGCAGTGCCACCTGCTACTTTGACTTCTGCTTCATTACTTCAACTCCATCCTCAGAGAGTTTTCTTTCACATTTGAAAATCTGACTGCAGGATGTGGACTGTAGGTACGGGATAACAGTTCGAAGCCCAACTCCAAGCTGCATGGCTTGATCTACCGTAGAATGACCACAAGTTCACAGCCCTTTTGGTTTTTTTTGACCCAACAGAGAAAGCTCATCGAGGAATGAAACTTGAGTCATGACAGTTCTGCATGCTCAGGGATGAAATGGGATGGTATCAATGTTCATTTATAATCCACAATGTTGTTCTAGGATGACAACTGTGAAGATTGTTCACGTTCACTTTATTTGTGGACTCGTAAATGTGTAACATAAAATCTAACACGACAGACAGAAGGATAAGTATGGAGAGCAGCATTGTGGAACTGTGGTTAAGGGACTTGAAACTGAAGGGCTCTGGGTTCGAATCCCAGGTCAGACACAAGTGTTGTACCCTTGACCAAGGTCATCTGAATTATTCCCGTAAAATACTCTGCTGTGCAAATGAAAGACGTTTTGGACAAAAGCATCAGCCAAACAAATGGATAATAATAAGATGAATGTTAAATTCATGTTTCTGTACAATACAGAGATACTTGAAATGCATACTTTCTACAGTCCCTGGATAATTAGCAGTGTGACCAGTAAATTAAGAAGAAACAGTGACAAAAAAAAGTACACCACACAGCAGCAGGAAATCACTGTAGATCTCCAAATCTGTGGAGTCTTTAAGAATGGATTCTCCTTTTCAGAGACAACATAACCATGTGGTTAAATACTGACATTTCTCACAGAAGAACTTGGCAGCAAGCAATTAAAACTTTTCAACTTTTAAGTTCATTTTAACATTTACCATTGCTTAATGTTCATTAATACAGCAAAACCACAACTGCAAAACGATCACACCAAGTACGGAAATGTGCCTGTTTAAACAACCCGTCTTATTAGCAGTGGACATACATGTCAGGCTGCCAGAATAAACGTATTGTTTGGATGACCATGGCTGAAAGCTCAATTCGTCCATAATGCTTTATTTTTTTTACTTACATTCAGAGTTATTATATCACAAAATATCTAGATTTGAACATTTGAACATGAGATTTATAAACATAAACGCCATGAAACAATGTTTCAGATTTTCAAACACCTTGATTATGTCAAAATTCAGTCATGCTCAACAGAGAGACATTTAGGCAAACAAAAAACTTTTAACGCATGAGCTGAATTCAGGCCGTCAGCTTTGTAGTCTATTATGTACATCTTTAAAAGTGCAATGTATTAAACACTAACCGTTGGTCATTTTAAAAACTAACAGTGCTTGTGAAATGCCAAGCGTTTTGTGTCAGAAAAAAATGACAAATTTCTAAAAACAAATGCACAATGAATATTTTCGACATAAATCCTAATAGCTTTCTAAACGCAAGAATTGACAGAGGTGTCAATATTTATATACAAGAGCATGAATATTTATAACCCGTGGTGCGTTATCTTTTGCTCAGGTTCTTACTCGGAGGGAAATCCAAACAAGCGCTGCAATGGAGTTTTGACAGCAACTTTTGTTATAGCTGCGGATTTTTCTGAGCACCGGAAGTTTAATGCACACCACAAAAATTAACGATTTTCTCGCCTCCAAGTTATTTATTTTTTTAAAAAAACTAAAAGATAAATCGACACCATCGCAAAAACCACAGTAAACGGCTTCATTTTCTTTTAGTTAATCATTATGTACCCACGTAAAACGCTGAATATAGACCTCTTGGAAACGTCTCACAAAATATTCTCTATTCTTCCATTCTTAGAGGAGATCTATGCTCGATCATTACTGCAATCCCACAAATCCCAAAGCGCAAAAGCGGAGTGGGGAAACACTGTTTGTATTGATAGCATCACCACGCTTTCAGAGCGCCCTTCAAAATAGACACATTATTGATGATAACTTTGAGGACAACAGGATCCTGGAAGATGTCGAAACCTAAGAAATCATTTGAAACGATCTAGGACAGAGGTAAACAACAGACTTGAACTGAACTGGATACATTGATGAGATCACTGTTCGCTTCATACTGCACATGCATTGTTGTTGCATCCTATCACTGCAAAATCATTTTAAAAACTTTACACAATATAACTGTGCAGGAGTGATGGTGTACCCATATAAAATGAAGTCAGTTTCGAGCACCATGCAGCTTGAACAAAAATGCACAATCGCTAGTGAGAACCGTAAGTGGTTATAAAAATATAAAACGGAAGATAATGCAGTTTACTGGTGTCTGAAACGAAACCCTCCATCCGAAACTACACCCTGCAATCGTTCTTACAGGGAGAACCCAGCATATACTTCAAAATACACGATAAGTGCACCACCGGTGCTAATGCATATAACGCTAGTGCGCACTAAACATTCTATACTGGGTTTCCACAGAAAAAAGGCCCACATAATAAATAAGCCAATTTTTAGTTTCACTCGTACCTCCTGATCTCTGCGGTCATCTCTCGCCGATCGAAGACACGAGGGGCGCGCTTCGCCTCTCATTGGAGTTGATGTCTCAGATAATCTCACCGGTTTCTACTGAAAAAAAACAGGAATATTGAATTAACCAGATCCAGGTAGACAAAGCAAGCCCGCCATCTTGCCGGATGGCTAGAGACGCACTAAAATGGCGCACCCTGCTCAGATTTCACCTGCTGCCGGATTGGCTAAACTAGCAGAGAGCAGCGGGGTTTTTTTGTCTGGGCAAACGCAAAACTCATTGTGCATTGGTTTGTAGACGCGGCTCTCGTATAAACTGTTGAATATCATTGGTACACTATGCATAGAGAATTGTTTTTTCTTCTGATTGGCCAACTCTTTATTTTTGTTTCATTCATTTTACGTTTTAATGAAGTGCGGTTGTGATTTCCCCTCTGAAGACTTTTTGTGTATGTGTGAGAGGGTGAGGTTTTGCATAGACCGCTATTATTTTTGTATACTGAACACCATCGTAAATTGCTTCATAAAGTTTTGTAGCTACATTAAAATAATATGACACACTTAATATTGATTCGGTTAATAGTCTAGTCATAGTATGTGTGCTTTTAACAATTTTTGACATATTATTAAGATGAGCTGGCTTTATGTTGTTAAAATAATTTAAAAAACAATGCGTTGACCGACCTAACTGCAGTTTTTTTAATTCCCTTTCCCTGAAATGGTATATTAAGTGATATCAAACCTGTTCATTATCTGAAAACTGCTAATTCCTAGTTATGTAGGGTTATGGTAACCCAGAACTTACCCTAGTCACGGAAGCATTGAACACAAGACAATAAGAAAGTTTTCATTTGGTAGTTGGTCGTTTATTGATCCAAGGATCTCATCCAGCCATTTCTTGAAAGAAACCAGGGTATCGGGTTCATTAGTAATAAATATTTAATAATTGCTTACACTTATATAGTGCTTTTCTGGATACTCCACTCAAAGTGCTTTACAAGTAATGGGGACTCTCCTCTACCACCACCAATGTGCAGCATCCACCTGGATGATGCGACGGCAGCCATAGTGCGCCAGAATGCTCACCACACATCAGCAATCAGTGGGGAGGAGAGCAGAGTAATGAAGCCAATTCATAGATGGGGATTATTAGGAGGCCATGATTGGTAAGGGCCAATGGGAAATTTGGCCGGGATGCCAGGGTTATGCCCCTACCCTTTTCGAGAAACGCCCTGGGATTTTTAATGACCACAGAGAGTCAGGACCTCCGTTTTACGTCTCATCCGAAGGACAGCGCCTGTTTACAGTATAGTGTTCCCATCACTATACACGGGCATTAGGACCCTCATGGACTGCAGGGTGAGCGCCCCCTGCTGGCCCCACTAACACCTCTTCCAGCGCTGTGAGGTAGAAATGCTAACAGTAGATGAAACCTTGTGTGAAAAAGTAAGTGCACGCTTACTGCTTCCACATCGGTTAAGAAAGTGATTAGAACCAGGTACTGCTTAATGGCTGCACATGATTAGTTGATCTTCAGGAAGTGCTTCCATCTGTATGTAAAATCAGAAATTATGTCAGTTTGGTCTGGAGCACCTAGATCATGCCTAGGTCAAAAGATATCTGAGACAGTCTCAGAGTAAGAATCATTGCTGCTCATCAGTCTAGGAAGGCTTATAAAGCCATTTACAAACAGTATGAAGTCTATCATTCCATAGTGAGAAAGATAGTTAAGTTCCAGATGGCTGTCAATATACCTAGGATTGGGCATCCCAAGAAATTCCCACCAAGATCAGACCATGTGTTGCTCCTAGAGATAGCAAAGACCCCCAAAGCTACATCTACAGGCATCTATCAAAATGGTAAACGTTAGAGTTCATGATTCAGCCATTAGGAAAAAAATGGATAAGAATGGCTTTTGTGGAAGGGTAGCCAGGAGAAAATCCCTTCTCTCTGAAAGGAGCATTGCTACATGGTTTGCAAAACAGTACCTGAATGAACCACAAGGCCTCTTGAACAATATCCTCTGAGAAGACAAGACAAAGTGAGGTTGTTTGGCTGTAATGCAAAATGACATGTCTGGCGATAACCAAATACTGTGCATCATCACAAGAACCTCATACAAACTATCAAGCATGATGGTGGAAGGGTGATGATTATGGCTTGTTTTCTATCTGCAGGACCTGGACGCCTCACAATTCTAGAGGAACTTATGAGACCATCTGTCCAACCAAAAATTATTCATGCAACAGGACAATGACCCAGAACACATTGACGCCATATGACTGAATGGCTGAAAAAGAAAGGAATCAGAAACTAATGCTTTCAAACATCACCAAGCTGAAGCAGTTTTGTAATGAGTGGGCCATATTTCCTCCCAGGCAATGTGAGACTGATAAACTCTTACAGGAAACATTTTCTTACCGCTAAAGGAGGTTCCACATGTAAGTGAATCACAAGGGGCACTTACTATGATTTGGTGAGAACTAGATCAAGGTACGGTACTGTATGTCTTAATATGTACAACTATAGAATCATAAGGAGGAGTACTTTCTTTTTCACATCGCTGTTTATTACCTAATACTTTTCTCCTGAATGGTGTTTCATAATATAGTGTTTAGATTTCCAGAAGATTTTTGGTAAAGGTGTACAGTGCCTTGCGAAAGTATTCGGCCCCCTTGAACTTTTCAACCTTTTGCCACATTTCAGGCTTCAAACATAAAGATATAA